CTGAATCCCCCCCCCCCCCCCCCAACAGAATCTTCATCAAAATTCCCCCTTACATCAGTGTTCCCATCAGAGTCCCCCTTTACATCAGGAACCTCATAAAAATCACCCCTGACATTAGTGTCCCCATTAGTGCTACCCTTACTTCAGTGTTTCTTTCAAAATCCCCAGTTACATCAGTGCCCTAATCAGAGGCCCCCATACATCAGTGTTTCCATCAGAATCCCCTCTTACATCAGTGTCCCCATCAGAATGCCCCTTCCATCAAAATCCCCCCTTACATTAGTGTGCTCATATGAGCCCCCTTTACATCGGTGTCATCATCAGAGACCCCCTTACATCAGTGTTCCCATCAGAACTACCTCTTACACCGGTGTCCCCATCAGAGCCCCCTCTTACATCAGTGTCCCTGCCAGAGTTCCCCCTTACAACACGGTCCCCATCAGAATCACCTCTTACACCAGTGTTCCCATCAGAGTTCCCCCTTACTTTATCAGTGTATCCATCAGGATACCCTCTTACATCAGTGTTCCCATCAGAGTTCCCCCTTACATCAGTGTCCTCATCAGAGTGCCCCCTTATATCACGGTCCTCATCAGAATCCTCCCTTACATCAGGGTCCCCATCAAAATCCCCCCTACACCAGTGTACCCATCAGAGCCCCCTAAAATCAGTGTCCCCATCAAAATCCCCTCTTATATCAGGATCCCTATCAAAATTCCTCCCTTACAGCAGTGTTCCCATCAGAATCTCCTATTACATTAGTGTTCCCATCAGAGTCCCACCTACATCAGTGTCCCCATACTAGTTCCTCCTTACATCACGGTCCCCATCAAAATCCCCCTTACGTCAATATCCCCATCAGAACTAGAGTTGTTGGTTCAAATCCCAACAATGGCACCACCTGCACAGAGTTTGCATGTTCTCCCTGTGCCTGCGTGGGTTTCCTCCAGGTACTCCAGTTTTCTCCCACACTCCAAAGATAGGTTAATTGACTCCTGTGTAAATTGGCCCTAGAATGTGTATATATGAATGTGAGTTAGGGACCTTAGATTGTAAGCTCCTTGAGGGCAGGGAGTGATGTGACTGTACAATATATGTGTAAAGCACTGTGTAAATTGACGATGCTATATAAATTGACGATGCTATATAAATACCTGTAATAAATAAAATAAATAAATGTGGATCAGGAATATATTTAGCTGATTTAAACTGAAAGTTCACTTGGGCTTCTTACTGAATGATATACTCTTGGGTGCCACTGATGACCCTCTTCTGAAAATGCAAGCTGCCTGGCTGTCTCTTTTCTTGTTCTGGGTTAGTAATTCAAAGTATTGACACCACAGTATGCATTCTAGAGTTATGTATTTTCTGAAGGAGAAATTGGCATTTGCAGCCAAACTGCAGACTCATTTAAAATACCATCAAAATGTATTCAGTCCTGAAATCCCTGCTCACCTGCTCCTGAGTGTTTCCTGGGCATGTACATTCAGAAGAAAACTGTTGCGGCAACAGGGATGCATGCTCAGCTTTGGCAATTAGCATGAACACAGCCCCGAGCTGCACCTGGCTATGGTAGATCAGACGAAGATACCCTTGCTGCTTGGCCTGAGATTACCAGCCCAGTGAATACGTTTGCCACTTACAACCTTTGTAAATCAGGCCTGCAGTCTCAAGCCAGATTTCCTCTCGAGCAGGAGCTTAAGAATGAATTAGCGATGAGGAATTGGATAACTTGCTTTAAGTGCATCCAAACCTCAGGAGGATGGAGCTGCAGATTTTTAAGGCCAGGAAGGAAATTTGTAATGTAAATGAAGTTGGAATCTGTACTTTGAATATTTTAGACTGCCATATGTTAACATCTCATTCTCATTCAATGCGATTTATTGCTTTCTATTTGCACCCGTCTTTTAAAAAGTGTTTATATGTAAATAATTATTTCAAATGTGTTGTGTACAGCTCTAATATTGTGCAGCAAAGCGGAACGGTATATAATTGCCAAGTGCCAAAATGTTTTATATAATCTGTCAGTGGATAACTTAACATTGCATTATTTTGTTTGATGTTATAAATTAAAGGTTCACTCCACCTAAAACCCATTATGGCAAATATGGGTGAAATCATGTGAGCTTGACCATCCACTGACCTCCTATATTATAGCCAATGTTTAGTTAAAAAAAAACTTAAAAATTAAAAAGCACAAGGGACATTACTTACCATCCATATGCTGTGTCTCTTGTGCTACTGTCTCCTCAATAGGTGCTGTGACAGACACTCATCAGGAGTCCCAACTATATTCACCCTTTCTGCCCAGCTCTTCCACTCATAGAAGCCATACTACAGCTTCTCTGAATGAAACACCATCAATAAATGAAGGTGGTGGACCCTACAGTGGCAGAGGTGGGGGACTAGAGGAGGAAGATTTCACCTAAGTCGGAAGACATCAGCACAAGGGAAATGTCACACCGAGGGTAAGAAATGTCTCTTGTGCTGATTTTTTTTTTTTTTAACTAAGGGTCCAGAAACAGGTTTCACTAATTGCTGCATGATCCAATCACACACCGTGCACTCTCAAGTTAATTTATTTTTCAATAGGGTGGATGGTATAACACTGCTTACAATATTTATCACCAACACACAATATAACGTCACGGTAAATACTGGGCCCCTTTTATCAAGGACAAATCATAATAAAAAAGGAACCATTGAAGGGAAACTGATTTCAGGAAGCTGTGTCCAAGAAAAGATAGGCAGAGGATTGAGCACTAGTCAAAAGTATTGCCTGTGGACTCTCCGCAGTTGATCTGACTTACAATGCTGTGTTGTGCACAAAAATAGTGTAAATTGCAGTTCAATGTTTCTAAATGTAAAATAATGCACCTAGGGAAAATGAATCCCTTGAGAGAGTACAGCATTGGGGATACAGTGTTGGCCAGCACTTAAGAGGAAAAAGACTTGGGGGTACTTATTTCAGATGATTGCAAAATGAGCAAACAGTGTGGCCATGCAGTGGGGAGAGTGAATAGAATTCTAGGATGCATTACTAGAGGGGTCACCAGCAGAGGAAGGAAGTCCTATTCCTCTATATAGACCTTTAGTTAGCCCTCATTTAGAATACTGTGTCCAGTCCTGGAGACCTCACTTACAAAAACTAGAACTTACTAGAACGAGTCCAGAGACAGGGAACGAAAATGGTGAAAGGTCTGGGGGATAAAATATATCAAGAGCAACTTCAGGAACTAACATGTACAGTCTAGAGGAAAGAAGAGAAAGGGGAGATATGGCTGAAACCTTTAAATACATCAAGGGGATGAATAAGGTTCAGGAGGGCAGTTTTTTTCTACATGAAACCAAAAAACAAGAACACGGGGACATGACCTCAAACTAACAGGAGGAAAGTTCAAAACTAATCTCATAAAGTACTATTTATTGAAAGAGTAGTTGTAGCTTGGAATAAACTTCCAGCAAAGGTAGTGAACCAGTCAACAGTAAATAGCTTCAAACATGCTTGGGACAAGCATAGATCTATACTCAGATAAAAAAAGTTAACAAAAAAACAAAACAAAAAAAACAACCCCCCCCCCCACACAAAAAAAACACTCGATGGACCACTCGGTCTTTTTCTGCCGTCACTTTTCTATGTTTCTTTGTTTCTATGTGTCCCTGTTTGGAAGCAGCCACCTTGATAGAGACAGGACTTTGCTTCCTTGTGTCAGAGCCTCCAGCAAGGAGAACAGTGAGCAACACAATAATGACATCACCAAATCTCACTCCAAATCATCTAAGACTAGGAAACAGGGGAAGCAGTGCCTAAGATCTCACGCTGCATCTTTAAGGCTGCAGGTACAAGAGTGCCTAGAAACAGTCACAAACCAGGACGTACACTCCTATTTTTCAGGTGGAATGCAAGGCAAAAGGTAAATTGAATTGCATTTCTAAATGTCACCTTCAATATGGCAAAACTTCATTTTCTGAGTTCAGGTCTACTATATATATAAAAATAAATATGAGTAAGAACAGCCAATATAAAATGAAGACATGACATAAGTTTCAGCATAAGCATAATACATAAAAAGTATGTATAATAAGCAACATTCTATGCACTGATATCAGTAACTGATTTTATGTGGGCCTTTCAAGTTCGTAAGACATCTGTTCAAAATGTGCATGGGCAGCATGGGATCTGGCCCCAGCATCTCAGAGATGCCTGGAATTCGCTGTTTTCTCCGCAGGGTGATGTCACGCTTACTTCACCACGATCAGCAGCTGTTCTGCATACACGGAGCAGGAATGCTCACATCTTTGTATTACAGATACATGGGATGAACAGTGGGTGGGTACATTTAGCCAATACATAAAGTAGGGAAAGGGTTCCAAGATGTCACTGGCATCAGCATGCGAGACATGAACAGCCTGCATTAATTCAGTATTTTTGTAAAGGGTGTGCAGGTGGGGTGTGAATATTTTTATATCATGTACAGTATATTGTTGGGATTTGGCTTTTCTTTGGTGTATGGCACAGGGCTCAGTTTGTCACTAAAGTAGAATTGTGGCCAGGCTATAGACCAGGGGCGGACTGACAACTCATGGGGCCCCCAGGCAATAGGGGATCATGGGGCCCCTGTGTCCTTGTCCAAACTAAAAAAAGCCTATGAAAAAGGTACCAGGGGCATCTCATGGGGCCCCCTACTGACCCGGGCCCTCAGGCAGTGCCAAGTTTCCAAATGGTCAGTCCGCCCCTGCTATAGACTATAGATTTTCAAATATTCACACATTAATATCCACTGAACTTACTGCTGTGGTGCAAGCTGTGGGCTTTAAGCTGCCTGGCAGCACACTCCACCTCTACAGAAGAGACCTGGTGAAGGACAGGCATGGAGAAGGAGGCTGGACTAAGTATCTACGTTGTCTGACACCGCAGCCAAGGGACTATGCCTACTCCTAGCAACAGGGGCAAGAAAGACCCTGAATGGCAATAAGTTTTGGTGGAATTATGCCCCACCAGGGGTGGACTGACCATTTGGAAACTCGGGCACTACCTGAGGGCCCGGGGTCAGTAGGGGGCCCCATGAGATGCCCCTGGTACCTTTTTCATAAGTTTTTTGAGTTTGGGCAAGGACACAGGGGCCCCATGATCCCCTATTGCCTGGGGACCCCATGAATTGTCAGTCCGCCCCTGTGCCCCACCCACCACCCAACAGGGATCAGTCTGCCAGGACCTCTGTGAAGAGCGGGTGGGCCCAGAGAGAATGGCAGTGCACAGCAGGATGCCTGGGTGAGTGCCATTGGCTAGGAGTCAAGGGATCAGGTGTCTGTTGTCTATACGCCAGAAGCCAGTTCTAGCCTTGGTGCCTCAGTGTCGGAGTGGGATGCAAGGGACGGTGCTGCAATTTGGGCTGTGGGCTGACATGACTGCTGGTGGGAGCTGCAGAGATCACTTGTGAGATACTGTTCAGGCTGATACTGGGCTGAGAAAGCTGCTGGAGCACATGTTGCTGAGAGACTTAGCTACAGAGGACTTTACAGAGCGTGTAGCTGCAGTGCTCTTTCTGGGGTGAGCGTGCTAAAGATCCCCAAGGCCATGTTAGCTACTCTTGTCCTAGCACTGCAGAGTGTGCCAGTGCTGCTGTGTCCAGAGAGACTGTCTGCTGCTGCTGAGAGAGCAACCGTTGCTGCTGCCCAACGAGAGACTGTTCCGATGCTGAGCTCTTGCATCACCTGACCACATACTAATACTGCTGTTGCAAGAGAGTTTGCTGCTTACCAAGAGTAAGGTTACAATATTTATAAATATATTTCCACCTCAATAAACAAATTCCTCAAAAGTAGTGCTGCGCTGCCTTTAATGGACCAGAGAACAAACAAAAAATAAACACCCTCCTGAGTATCCAACCCGATGAGCAAATTAATAAATAAGAATGTGAAAACCAATAAAGTCAATAACTCATAAATAAAGACCTGGCTGAGCCACTAATGCATACATATAAAGCAATGACAGCATCAATAAAAACCTGGCCAAGCTAAAGTGAACGCCCAGCTGAGAAAAAGAGTAAAGTGTAAGACCCAACCAGAACAATTATAAATAGTTATAAAACCAATATAAAATAAACACCCGGCTGAACAATCAGTCCCCCCCCCCCCAAAAATGAATAAGTTATAAATCAAGTGAATTCCCAACTGGGTTATATAATCCACAAAATGTGCTTGATATATCAAAATGAGGAATAATACGGAGCGCATGTTGACCTATATTCTTTATGGGTCAGCCCGTAAGGTGAGTGTGCATGCCTGAAGGTGGAGGAACATGACTGACTTGCACATCTTTTGAATTCACTGGTGCACTACTTTAAATGCTGGAAGAAAGAGACTGTTTTATCACTTTTGGACTGAATTTTGCACTTTATTAGTGCTATTTATTCTTCCCTTTTCATTTCTTTTTTTGCGTGTTCCTCATTTTGATCAATCAAGCACATTTTGTGGATTATATAGCCAAGTTGGGCATTCACTTTATTTATCATTTATTCATTCTTGGGGTGCTGATTGCTCAGTCAAGTGTTTATTTTATATTTATTTTATAACTATTTATCATTGTTGTCATTGGATCTTACACTTTATTCTTTTTCTCAGCTGGCCATTTACTTTAGCTTGGTCAGGTGCTTATTGATACTGTGATTGCATTACATTTATGTGTTATTTACAATTATTGACTTTATTGTTTTTCACATTTTTATTTATTCACTTGCTCATTGGGTTTGACACTCAGGAGGGTGTTTATTTTGTTTTTTGTTTTCTGGTTAATTAGGGGGCAGCGCAGCACTACTTTTGGGGAATTTGATTTGCCAATAGACTGCTGCATCAGGGATCCAGAACTACTGGGACAAGGCTACAGATATTCATCCACCCTTGGCTTGAAAGGTGGACCTTCAATCTGGCTTATGAGGGACTGTCTGAGACCAATGAGCAACTTTTTCATTGGTAAGAGGGCTCTTGGTTGTCTGTGTTTGTATTAATAAATTTAAGTACTTTACCGTAAGTATCAGGGCCCCAACGCCAGAAAGACTGGATTATAGATATTGTCTCACTGGCCAGGCCAATGCAGTAAGCAGGACCTCCGGCTTATAGATACACCATCTTTATTTCAATTGTGTTGTCACATTGTAAACTGTTTGACACAGATTTTATTTGCTTGCATAAAACCATTTATTTTCCAGCAGTGTACTCCATTATTGAAGCCCATTATAAAATGTTCAAAGGATATCAGTGTCACTAGGATCCGGGTAAGAGCAGTCATCATTGGTGTAGGGCAGGATGACCCAAACAATCTAGCAGATCCTTTGAAGTTAGCTCTACATTGATAAGAAATTTCCACTGTAAGTAACATTTGTTTACGTATTTTCATCATTTGCCCTTTCCGAATTACCCAGGTTTGTGATAAGGTTACTTTAAAGCAGAAGTAGAACTCTGGCCAGGCTCTGGTCATTCTAATATTTACAAATTCTTAACAATCAGCAAATAACCATTAAAACAAGCCCTCACTGACCTCTGTAGCTGCAGTCACTGTGGAGTTGTAATATAACATATACAGTATTTTCAGTGACAACTCAAACTGAACGCTTTTGAATAACTGAAATAGGATCATATTTATTTAAATAGATAATAACTGTGATGATTCGAGTCAGTCTTTCCTTATATTCCAAACTGGTATTTCAAAGTCAAGTAGAAAAAAAATGACTTCAGTAGTCTTTACAACAAACATTGGCTTAGGTAGTGATGCTTTTCTCTTCTTTTTTGTTTATACGTGCTTTGCTTAGTATGAGTTTTGCAGTTTCCCTGTCTTTGCAAAAGCGAGATAATGTAGTGTCAGCCTTTTAACTTGGATCAATTTTAGAATTGTTAGGAGCTCTCCAGCTTGCTCGTGTTGCATAATTATGTCTCAGTATAGTTAATTTGTAACAAAAAGTCCTTAGATCAGAAGAGCTCAGGGGTGGACTGACAATTTGGAAACTCGGGCATCGCCAGGGGGCCCCATGAGATGCCCCTGGTACCTTTTTCATAGGCTTTTTTGAGTTTGGGCAAGGACACAGGGGCCCCATGATCCCCTATTGCCCAGGGGCCCCATGAGTTGTCAGTCCACCCCTGGAAGAGCTTTTTGCACAGATTCATATCAGTATGTGTTAGCAAGTAGGGAGGATCTCAGGCCACTCAGGCCTGACAGTTGCCTACTAACTGTAATCTCGTAATCACTTTGGCTGAGATTTCCTAGAAACACAATTTCTAAATTCTCACCAATGACCGTCCTTGTGAGGGCTCATTCACACAGTCGCTGTGACTCAGACAGCATGAATGGGGTCCTTGTTTATGCAGAAAAATGACTATTGATATTCCCATAGTACATGCTCAGCTGAGAAATAAACGGTGTTTGCAATAACAACCAGCTGGAAACTGGTAACATCACAGATAAAGAAGTGCTATGCTTCAAGGCCAAGCAGGACCCCTTGTCAAGCATGTGACAATGTACACTCACATGCCAGGTGAAAGGGGTCTTGTGTGGCCTCAAAACATTGCACATTTCTGCTGTGATGTAAACTCTTTGAAAAAAAAAGCATTTGGAAATTTGGGAAAGCATACTATCTGTAATTGGGGTTACTCAAACTGCCCCTGCTTGTCTGCGCCTGCTTGTCTGTCACATTAGGATGGGAGGTTGTGTTGCACAGCTATTGCATCCCCATAGAAAAACCATGGGCTGCCTTCTAGACATGTGGAGTTCACTTCATTACGAATCCAAATTTGGATGACTTTTCCATTATCGGACTCGGATGTATCCAGATTCCGAGTTACAATAGTAACGAATTTAAACAAATCTGAAATAACAAAATGAAATTCGGCCCAAATTCGAATCGATTCGAATTCGAAAACAAATTCAAATTCGAAACCCAATTCAAATTTGAAAACAAGAATATAATAGAGTAGAACAGAAAATAAATAAATAGAAAATAATAGAATAGAATATAAAATAAAAGAAGAGAATAGAAGAAAAAAAAAATAGAAGATAAAAGAACAGAATAGAAAGTAAAAGAAATAGAACAGAATATATAGTAGAAAAAATAGTAGCGTAAAACAGAACAAAATAGAATAGAAAATAAAGGAATAGAAAATAATAGAATCCATTAGAATAGAATAGAAAAGATTAGAATAGAAAAAAAAAAGAATAACAAAGAAAACAATAGAAAAGATTAGAATAGAAAATCAAAGAATAGAATAGAAAATAATAGAATCAATTAGAATAGAATAGAAAAGATTAGAATAGAATATCAAAGAATAGAGTAGAACAGAAAATAAAGAAATAGAAAAAAATAGAATAGAATAGAAAATAAAAGAAGAGACTAGAAAAGATTAGAAGATAAAAGAACAGAATAGAAAATAAAAGAATAGAACAGAGTATAGTAGAAAATAGTAGTGTTAAAACAGAACAGAATAGAATATAAAATAAAGAAATAGAAAATAATAGAATCCATTAGAATAGAATAGTAAAGATTAGAATAGAAAATCAAAGAATAGAACAGAAAAGAATAGAAAAGATTAGAATAGAAAAACAAAGAATAGAATAGAAAATAATAGAATCAATTAGAATAGAACAGAAAAATTAGAATAGAATATCAAAGAATAGAAATAGAAAATAAATAGAATCAATTAGAATAGAATAGAAAAGATTAGAATAGAAAATCAAAGAATAAAAGAATAGAAAATAATAGAGAAAAAAAGAGCAAAATAGAACAAAAGATAAAGAAATAGAAAATAATAGAATACATTAGAATAGAATAGAAAAGATTAGAATAGAAAAACAAAGAATAGGATAGAAGAAAATAATAGAATCAATTAGAATAGAATAGAAAAGATTAGAATAGAATATCAAAGAATAGAATAGAAAATAAATAGAATCAATTAGAATAGAATAGAAGAGATTAGAATAGAAAATCAAAGAATAGAATAGAAAATAATAGAGAAAAAAAAGAGCAAAATAGATCAAAAAATAAAGAAATAGAAAATATTAGAATAGAAAATCAAAGAATAGAATAGAAAATATTAGAATAGAGAATCAAAGAGTAGAATAGAAAATAGAAAAAACAATAGAATAAAATCGAAAAAAAAGATAAACTGCCGTTCCGAAATTCGAATTTTGAACAGAATGATTTTGAATTCGAACAGAATACATTAAAATAGAATATAAAATAATAGAAACAAATAGCATAGATTAGAAAAGACTAAAATACTTTACAAAAAATGTTTGTCACTATGGTGACATGAGTAGTGATCAACAAAGGCACTGTGAAAATTTTGCTGAAATAGAAATTTCCAATATGGATTGTAACGTTAGAATTATTATCGAATCCATTAGAATTATTATCGAATTTGTTAGAATTATTATCTAATCCATTGAAATTTTTTTCTAAACACCTAAAGTTATTTTCAAATCTGTTCGAAATTTCAAATTCGGTCGATTTCGAATAAATGAAACAAATTCCGAAAAATGAATTAAACAAATGTAACTAATCAAACTAAATGAAATGAGTCAAAATAACGAATCAATCAATTATTAGGGCATATGTTTATAATTAAGTAATGGAGAACTAACCACATAGGATACATGACTTACATAGCCACCACAAAGAGTCAAAAGAAGATGCTGCACTGTGTTTAGAAGGCGTGATTCCCCCGTAACTGAGGCCATCATGTGATATGCAAGGACTACAGGGGACACATCACAAACACTGTCACAACAGACTATGTATATATGTGATGCTGTGTATAATAATATCCTAGAAATACAACTGTTGTATGTAGAAGGGAAGAACCCATCAGAGAGGGAGCCAAGCAGGTGGAGTATTAAAGGGGAGAAGATCCATATCTGAGAAACTCCCGTAGTTTATTCATAGAGGAAAAACAATTATCTAGACCTAATAACCAAAGTTATCGGCTCATGATTAGAGGTGAGGTAGTGGGACCCACTTGTATGACAGTGTGGATTCTGTGATTATTGAGCATAAAGTGGAGGAAGACATACCTGTTTATACACCAAAACATTTTGGGGACTATAAACACTAGTGGAGTATTTACGGACTAATCTATTCGTTCATCACATTTATTTTTGTGTTTATTTTTTGTGTTCTATAATTGGAAATTGTATATTGCACAACAAGGAAGCGCTGCATAGCACATACATTATCACCATCTTAAAGCCCCCCCCCCAATTGGAAGAAATCCTGCTACTACAGATTCAGTGGAGCTAGTGAGCAGGTCATTGGCCCATCAGTGACTTCTTTGTTGACTTTGTGCTTACCCCTTGGGAAATCTTATCATCCTTTGCCTTTACTGTTACTTTGTAATTGTCCAGTAGTGAGCACCTCTAGTCTTGTTTGGCTAGAGCCAGGGGCGGACTGACAACTCATGGGGCCCCTGGGCAGTAGAGGATCATGGGGCCCCTGTGTCCTTGCCCAAACTCAAAAAAGCCTATGAAAAAGGTACCAGGGGCATCTCATGGGACCCCCTACTGACCCCGGGCCCTCGGGCAGTGCCCGAGTTTACAAATGGTCAGTCCGCCCCTGGCTAGAGCCTATAACACAGAATATTAACCCCTCTGTTGGCTTCTCCCACCTCAATGTTTCCAAGCAACCCATTGTTTCCTAAAACTATTTCACTGAGTGCAGAAATACTCCACATCACAGTTTTCATTAAACACACCAACGTCTTCAAGGGCCCCAATGTAGCCAGCAGAATACTAAATTTAAGGACTATACACAGTTCACTTACTACTGAGGGCAGTTATTATTACATTGCAATCTTCTTACAAAAGGGCTAGGCTTATCTTCCTCATTGCAAGAGCCCATTAGCAGCCTAGCCTCTACCTGTTCCTGGTAGCTATCTTGGTTGCCTTTATTTTGTTCATTTAGTGAGGACAGCTACAGTTTATGCTGGTCAGATTTTAGTTTACTGCAGTACCATAAATGTCTCATGAAACCCTCCATGTATTGTGTATACTGTTAAAGTTTTCCCCGTTATACCAGATAATTACTTACCAATATACTCTGTTCTTTGCTACAAGGTCTCGAGTCTCATTTCAGGGTAACAAAAATGAGTAATTTACCTCTACTAATGTGTAAAGGCAAGGTGCCAGTGGTGCTGAGGCACTCTCCAAGGTCAAGGTAAGAACAGAGGACCTAACATACCCAGCGACTCCTTCGGAGGTGGCGCTACACTTCGATAAATGTGAACCTTCACATACATAGAAATGTAACTACTTATAGATAGAACAAGACTTAGTGTCAGGGCCTGGACTTGAATCTGGGACTTCTACTGTGTCAGGCAGTAACTCTCTTCTCACTGAGCTACCTAGGATGCTGGACAACACTCTGCCTCATCTATTGGATAATCCTGCCTTGTGCCTTGTTTGCTCTTGAACCTTGAACTCCTTGCTCCTCCCATGAACTTCCTATATAAGCCATGTCCTTGGACTTCCTCCTTGCCAGATTATTGTGCCTTTCCAGCCAATATCCCGCTACTGTTCCTGCTGCTGTCTACACCTCCGCTACTGATCTTTGGCTTGTTCCTGACCACGATTTTGTCTCATCCTAACGTACTACGATTGATCTGCTACCATTTGTGACCGATCCTTGGCTTGTGACCGACTCTGCTTTCGTCTGATCCCTAACCTGTTGATCCGCTATTGGTTCCCAGTCTGCTCATTCTCTGGTGGGGTGATCCTGAGATCTGCGACCTGGTATTAACACGCAGCCCAATCCATCTCCACCATTAGGAGCTCTGGTTAATACTTAGACCCCGCACCTCAGGTGAGCCTGCGTCATTCCCAGGGGGATCCGCTGGTGTACCTATCCTGCTGGTTCCAGGTAAGCCTTTACTGCTATAGCAACTGGTCTCTGAACCTGACCTTACACCGTGACACTTAGTATAGAGCCATGTGGCACCCTACTAATGACTGGTCTCTGTTTCATATGTAACCCACAAATTTAAATGACTAAGTTATTGGGCGACCTTCTAAACTTGTCAGGGGCCACACTTGATGCCATCTATACATACCAAGTTGATCACTGGTGGTGTAGGCACCCTGCACTTGTGTAAACACTCACTCATTACTTGTTCACTTCAGTCAACAAGCATACAGCCTTTTGTTCACCCTACCCTACCTATTCACAGATGT